CAACTCCACTTTCCTGCCCACTGTCCATAACCCTTTCACCCATTGCTCATTAAAAATCAGTCTGTCTCCTCTATAAATGTATTCAGTGTCCCAGTAACCACCACACTTTTGGGTTGTGAATTCCACAGATTCATAACTGTTTGATTGAAGCAATTCCTCTCTGTCTCTGTTTGTCTTTTAGAATGCTAACGGATGAACTGCTGTTAAGTTTTCAGTTCTACAATCGTTACTTCCTTTTGAAAATTCGACCGTAAATTGCGAATACTCTGAAATGTTTTTTAACCTCATTGTTCGATCTCATTTCTTACTTTAAAAAAAAGTTTTGAGAGCCAATCAAATGGGATTAGGCCCTTAATGGTATTAATTGCCGAATTTAAGGGCTTCAACTGATGGTGGGGCAGGAAGCTGATCCACAAATCTTCCCACCCAAGACTTTGTCAGAGCGAACATGGTAATGTGGTTGAGTCCCTTCCTTCTTGATTCAAAACTCTTCAAAACTTGACTAAATGTTTTGGGGGGAAAGGCATTAAATTCCAGCCAAAGATTCTTTGTTACAGGAAATTTGGCTTGAACATGAGGAAAAGTCAACCAACGTGCCTTTCAAATGGTCCTTTGGGATCATTATTGTCCAGGGAGCAGCCAACAGATTTAACGCTTCACTTAATAGATGGAAACAACCATTCTACCGTGAGGAAACAGATGTTCTCAAATTTCTCCACTGTCCTTTTGCCGTTGGAATCTGCACGTAAACCCAGAAGCACATTTTGGGATTGATGTTGTATCGATTCACTGATTGTGTGCGCGGATAGCCATTTGATTGAAATGTAAGATGACACCCCATTGTTTATGCAAATGTACCCCGGCTTCCAGGAAAGGTGGCACAATATTATACACTTGTATGATGGCGCAATGTTCTAACAGTAAGTTGGGGTTTAAAAAGAGTCATAAGAACTTTGGTATTTCACAATTGCATAAAAAGGAACCGTAAGGGTCATGTCACAGGCAACAAGGGCCCTGGCAAAGCAAATGATAAGACTGTGTGTTGTTGGAAGAAGCCTTTCTGGAGAGGAAATTAACTGGAATTTACAAGGACCCCTTTGAACTGATTTAAGGTATGTTTTGTGGAGAAAAAAATCTGTTAAGCTAAACAGCTGCTTTCTGAGAGTTGAAAATGTGTGCAGCACTATCAGTTCAAGGTTTGAAACTTCACCTTGGGCAAAATATTCCAATTCGTCACAGAGTACTTGGCTATGGTTTTCTAAAACATATTGAAGCAGCAAGAGATGGAGAGAGAAGAATGGAGAATAGCAGTTGGTTGCTGTATGTAGAATTTTCATTAACATAACATGTTCATGGTTGAAAGTTTTATATTTGTGTGTCCTAACTTCAGAGATTGGAATGTTTTTATAGTAACTGATTAAATTCATTCACAGTCTAGATTCTTTTCTGTTTTTAAAAAAAGACCCGTTGCCCTTGGATTCTACTGACGTGCGAGTCAAGATCAGAAATATGAAGGGTGGTCACCATCCAGAGACCTGTATAACCAGAGTCATTACTGTTCAAGGGTGGTGTAAAATGAATGTAGTTTGGACCACTTTTATGGACCTGGGTCCTGTGTTCAAGAAGTGGCTGAAAGAAATCAGGTTGGAACAGGGCAGAAGCGAGGTTTGGGTCCATTTGGAATTCTTCAGAGTTCTAATAAGACAATCAGTACTTTATTTAAAAGAAAGTGTTAAGCATCTTTGTAGAGTGAGGAGGAGCTTTGTTTGGAAGAAACAAATTCTTGAGCCTAAGGCTTTATGATGGACTTGCCCTTGAGTATTCTGAAGGTAAATAGTTATTCACTTCAGTTTCAAGTACCAAACTCTCCCTGTTGTGATGAACTGTTCAAAGCAAATGACTGGAACAAAGTAAGGGAGAAACACTTTAGTTTGATGATAAAATATTGTGGCTTATGATTTGCTGAAATGCCCCAGGCAGCCACGGTCACAACAGATGGAAACTGGCATGGGATGAAATTTTGATTTCATTTTTATCCTATGGAATGTTTTCTCTTCCCCATCACCACTTGAGCGTAAGGGCAAAGATGTTTTCAACCCTTACAACTCTTGCTGTCTGGTGGAAGGTGGACTAGGGGCAAGTATAAACCAGTAAAACTGGCGAAAGAGACAATAAATTGCTGGAGAATCTGTTGGAGCATGTCTGGTAGTATCTGTTGGGGAAAAAGAAGAGTCAGAAAGTCAGAACTGGACTAAGAGAGTTTTCTCACCACTGATGCTGCAGGACCTGTTTAGATTCTCTAGCAATTTCAGTTTGTGTTTTAGATCTCCAGCATTTTCAGTTCTTTGTTCTATTTTGGCGAAAGAGGTATGTTTGACAGATTAATCTTGTATACTTCAAAATGGAGCTCCTGGAGGATCTGTGCATTTGTTTCCAAGTATTAGTTTTTTTTTAAACTCCTCATTCTCTCTAGGAGGGAGGAGAAGATGGGAGAAAGGAGAGGGAGTAGGGATGGTTGAGGAAAGAGAAGTGAGGGTGAGATTAAAGGACGCGGAGAGGAGTTTATTATGGGAGTGGATGACCAAAATACTGTTAAAGTTGGTTCCCCAGCTGGAATGCTGCTCAGTGTTTGGTTGGGAAAGTTAATGGCCTACATGCTTCTCTCTCTCTCTATGTGGGTGGGGTGCTCCTGGTGGTGCTGGTTACTGATGGGAATGGGTGAAAGAACACAAGATTTTAATGCAGCTCATTGTCAGGTGGTAGGTGTCTTAATAATGTGGAGGTGCCGGTCTTGGAATGGGGTGGGCGAAGTCAGAAGTCACACAACACCAGGTTATAGTCCAACAAGATGTTTGCTTATTTACAGGTGCATTCTATTTTGTTCAAAAAACACACAATTTGTAGTAACAGTCAGTCAGTGTGGCATCTTATAAGTTCCAGCCTTTGGAATAAAACCATCCTGATTCCAGGATAAAACTCTGAGGCAGATTCTGGACAAAGCCTCACACTTACCATTCAGTGTCTGACCCGAGATATCACCTTTTGTATATTCCTATCGCTCTGCCTGATTGTCACGACAGCACAGCGCTGACGTTGACTTTATAAACACTTTACACACCGTCTAACACTGTTGCTCACCCGCCGAAAGTTATCATCTGACACCCCACTCACACCAGTTGTATGATCTTTTGATCTCTCTGCCGAAAAACTGTGTGTCCGTGTGCCCTGCTCTCTCACTGCACCTGACGAAGGGGCTGCTCTCTGAAAGCTTGTGTGAATCCAAATAAACCTGTTGGACTATAATCTGGTGTTGTGTGACAGATGTCTTAATGTCATCTGCCAGCCTGTTCTGGCTCAGTAGGACAGCAGATATAAAGGAATAGGGCCGCGTGTATAGTTGCAGCTTTGGATGAGAAACTTTATCCAGCAGTGGGGTTATTGGCAGAGTGTGACAAGCAAACATAGTTAAACTAGCGTGGGATGAGAGAACAGTGTGGGGATTGATACTGCCAGAGAATTGTTAAAGCAAATGTAACTGCACAGGTAAGTTTTGAGTAACCAGAAATGGGCCACAGCTGTAGTCAGTATTGCTAATATTTCCATTAAATTTCAATGATTTTACAAGCTCAGTGTTTTGGAGGTAACAAATTGCTAAAGCTCTAAATTATGCAGTGGAACTTGAATGTTTTCTTTGTATTTTAAGTTATGGCATTGAACCACTCAATAAAGCTTTTCAAAATATCACTGAGGGGGCTTATTTTTCTTATTCTACATTGTTTATATGACCACTTAACAGTTTTACAGTTCCCATGGTTTAAAATACTGTCAAAGGCATATTTTTTTCCTCTTTCCTATCTTTATTACTCAGTCAGAAGCCATGACCAGTAGGAACAGGATTTTAAGGTCCATGCCCCTGCAGAGATGTGCACTTCTTTCTGTTGTTTCTATGGAGAAACACAACAATTAAAGAGCTTTACTTTAACTTACCTGCTGCATTTGATCAGTTGATGATCTGAAGGTAAAAGCTGAATGTGCTTTTTCTGGAAGAGGACCAACTATTAACTTTAGATTCAAAAGAATTAGAATTAGTTACAAGTAACTCACATTTTTGTCTACATTATGCTTGTAGTAAATTTTAAAATAAAGACAGTTACAATCCTACAGACAAAGCATGTAAATTTAGCTAGGAAGTGATAGGATTGATTCAGACAAGATTACAGCACTGAGAGCTTACATGTTTAAATTGAAAATGATGACGATGCTTTAACCTCAAACGTCCCCTTGTATTCTCTTGCTTTTTTTTAAAGTGTAGAATTTTTGATTTGATTTTGATAATGGGAAGGTACAATGTGCAGCTTTCTGCATAATGTTTTGTGGTTGCCAACTGTTGACAATGTGACTGGACAGAGATGAAGAAGGAGATGGCATTGATGCTGGTCTCGAACTTTGCTTGTTTATCCACTGTTGGAGGAAGGAAAGAGTTTGACAGGGGAACTGCTCTGCAGATAGTTGAGAAACCAAGTTGAGACACGCTTTGGGTTAGTTTTCTCATGAGTTCAGTTAATCGGCAGTCCTGTCATAACAGTTGGGGGTAACCTTTGAGACCTTGTCAGGTCACGGATACAAGTGCACCAGTCCGATTGCTTTCTTCCATTTGTGTTTGCTTCTGAAACCTCAGGATGCATGTAGAGATGCGGTTGCACAGTTCCCAGAACTGTATTTGCTCTGATCGTGCAGGATTAAAACTACCTTTTGGTGAGAATTATTCATTATCTGTTACACATGACTGTGGTGTAAGTCTGTGAGAAGGTCCTAATGTGGGTGCTAATTCACACAAAAAATGTCAACTGTTTAACTTCTCTCCAGAGCATTTTTTTTTTGACAACGTACCAATGTAAAACGGTGAGTCACGTTTTGACAAATACGCAATTCGATGGTAAAATCATATTTTGTAAAATAAATAAGTTTCAACAGTAACCTCCTTTCTCTTTTGTTCACAGCCTGATAACTCGGATACGTTTGTAAACCATGTAACCAATCCGGTACGTAATGTTTTATTTCATGACTAGTTCAGAATTAATGCAATCAGCAAAAACAAAAGTTCTGTTTGTCTCTCCAGGACTAACAGCAGTTGTTAAATAAAGAATTTTCCCCTTGTGTCTATAAAGTAAAAAGAAACCTTGCAAAGTTCTGGCATTATCTTGTAAAATTGGCCTTCAGTTAAGTATTCCACCTCATTGCTTGAGAATGTTTGGTGGGAAATGATGGAAATTGAATTCACGTTTAATCGTATTTTAGATTGACCTCTTCATGGTCCTGTGTTTCTTCACTAGTGGTTGTTGCTGTATTACTAAATTGTCAGCTCCATAACATTTAAACAACTCGAAACACATCCTAATGCCCTGGGACCCAGCACAACACTATTTTCAGCAAATATTCCTTTGTGTTAATCAGGGCTTGTCTTGGGGGAAAAAAAGCTATTGTTTAGGAATTGTTTAGGAGTTGTGTTTCTTCTAAAAATGGCAGATTCTAAGATCAGTTGAGGCTAATTGCTGCAAGACATTACAGTAGATTGGCAGGTCTTTTTATATCTCTGCCTCTGACACAAACAAGTGCCAAGTTACCAAGCAGAAAAAACAGTAAATAACATTTTTTTAAAAATTAAGATTTGATTTCATTTTTCATCTGGAGGTTGCAGACCTAGAAGAGGAGTTTCCTTGGGATGGGAGTTCCTTAATATTTCAGAGATTCAAAACACAACCGTTTGATACAATGTTAACAAAATGCTCTCGAAGCGTTGCAATAATTCAGTTCCGCATGTGGTTTGGCATGCCCGTATTACCTGCCTCAGTAACTCCACTTTTAGAGGTTCCTTCCTGTTGTTCTCCATCACTATTTAAAGAAAATGGCGGATACTTCATCATAGTACTTTAAAAATTCTTTCTTTTTTGGAGGAGGGAGTCAAAAGGCCTGGGTGGCAGTGTAAATTTTAGCATTACAACCCAACTGGGATGAAGATGTTGCCTTATTGCCAGTACTAGGGTCCTGAAGTTGTCCCAGTTTCTTATTGGCAGATCTCCTCGTTCAAGGGTGCAATTAATCTGAGATTAAATGTGCATGACTGCTGAGGGTCCATGATAATATTATAGGAAGTGGAATAATCATTTTGTGCAGCTGAAATTGCTTTCTTGAGACTGATAACACAGCAAATGGTTGAGTTAAGGTGGAGGGAGTCCTCTTGTGGACAATATATCTGCTTACCTGATGTCGGTGTACTTGATCCCAGCACCAGTTACTTTAAGTAGGAAATTGTTCCCTTCTGTGATAGATATATTTTAGTGAGCAGGAGAATTTTGCATGGATGTATAATTGCTCACTGAAAGTTACTAATAAACCAAAGTCGGTTTATTAAAAATATTGCATTTTAATTATGCATTGCAGAACATCAACTAGAACATAGAACAATACAGCGCAGGAACAGGCCCTTCAGCCCACAATCTCTGTGCCGACCATGATGCCATTCTAAACTAATCCCATCTGCCTGCATGTGGTCCATATCTGTATTCACTGCCTGTTTGTGTCTGTCTAAATACCTCTTAAACTGTTTCACTTCATTGTAGTTTTGTTCTAACAAAATAGTACAGATTCAGAATTTAACAAATACGGTTCTCACCACTTACGTGCTCATGTCAGAAGTCTGCCTATATCAGCAAGCCTGAGACATCAGTTACAAAGCCGCTGCTTAAACCATGTTAGGCACACTGAATATTTCAGACTGTTCCAGCAGCTGTTGGCAGTCTGTAATTGCATGTTATTATGTTACTCCCTGCTTGCAAGCAGGAATTTTGTTTTGAGAATTCCTCAATTGATTTTGCTTCACAGATAAAAATGTCTCGAACTCTTACAAGAATAAAATTATTTTTAACTAACCTCCCAAGCTGTTGCTGCTGCTGCAAACCCTTCTTTTCAGCTTGTTGAGTCTGGGACCTTTCTGCTTTTGTTTTAAAATTATAATAATAATACTTAAATCCTTTTTTGAAATCTCCCTCTACTTGAAGAAGCATCTGTCTGCTGTTTTTTGTTGATTTTTCATCAGTAGCAGTTACATTTTATTTTGATGTAATTTTTGACATCCAGTGAAATAGCAGTGGACTCTATATTCCTGATGGTGTGTTAAAAAGCATGTTTTCTCCCAACTTCTTCGTACAAGCAATTCATCTTTTTAAAATTGGTGAATGTGCCTTTCAGTGCTGACTGACTGCTTGATGTGATCATTTGTCTTTGGTCACGTCCTCATCTATCTTCCATAAACATATCTTTGTCAGTTGAACAGACATCAAGAGTGGGAATCCCAGCTGATTACTTAGCCACTCCACCCTCTTCCCCACCTCAACCATCGTTGCCGAGGAGCAGTGAATTTTTATTTCCTTGGTTTGAAGTTCACAATCTGTTGTGGTTAGTATTCCAAAGCAGTTTTACAGGAAAACTAGAAAACAAAATGTGAATTAATCATCTAGAGGCATCTTTCAATCAGATGTGCTTTTTGCCCATCCCTCTGTTTTGGCAAAAACTAATTTAAAATATCATAACCATAGTCTGCAACCCTTTTAATTTACAAATACGGTAATGAAAGTTGAATGAAAATGTATCATCACTAGATATTATAATTACCCAAGAAAAGAGCAAAGTGAACTGACATCAAGTTTTGGAGTCTTTTAAGAGGTTTAACTTGGGACAAACCAATTGGCACTCTGTTCACCACCTTTAACATTCACTCACTGACACTGATGCACACGTGCAGCTGTGTGTATCATCTACAAGATGTACTGGTGCAGTTCACCAGGATCGCTCTGACGTCACCATCCAAACCAATGGCCTCTATCATCTTGAAGGATGAGGACAGTAGTTTCACTGGACTGCCAACCCTGCAAGTTCCACTCCAAGCCACACAACATTCTGACCTGGAATAATATTGCCATTCCTTCACTACCACTGGGATAAAATCCTGGAATTCCCTTCCTAACAGCATCATGGGTGTGCTTGCACCCCCATGGACTTGAGCAGTTCAAGAAGACAGCTCACTGCCACCTTCTCAAGGGCAATTAGGGATAGATAACAAATACTGGCCAGGAGAGCGAAGGTGTGAATGAGTAAATGGTGAAAAGAAAGGTAGGAGAGAAGTCAGCGAGAAGGAAGAAAGAATAAGGGGAGAAAAATGAACAAAATGAAATTTGAGTTTAATATTTCATTGGTTATTTGTGAATCTTTAAAACATTAAAAACTGTCAAAAGTTAAAACATTAATTTGAAAGAGAAAGAAATGAGGGAGCCTTAGTAGAAAGTTGGCATGAGACAGAAAACACATATTCCCACCAATAAAAGTTCCAGAAGGTAGATGGAAAAAAAAAGAGGAATTTCGGCCTTATTAAGCCAGACATGACTTCAGCCATAGAAAGTTTTTATTGATTTTAATGCTCAGACAGAGCCTGTCTAAGTAGAAACAATGACAAATTTTGCGTTTACCATTCAGCCCAAAATAAATGAAAATTGAGAAAATGAGTATTGTACGAATAGTTATTGAATTGAAATGATAGAGTGCAACCTCAAAAGGTAGACTGAGGATAAACTTGCACATTCCAGTTTATAGAATGGGATTTAATGAATGCTTAGAAAGGCATTGGCTAATTAATAAAAATGGTATGGACTATATAATTGTTCAAACAGCATGAATTTCAAGCTGTTTACAGTGTGTTGTAGTAAACAGAGTTTAGTAAATGATCAATAGGTCCGAAGTTCACCGCTATCTGGAAAAGGGTGGGGTGATGTCATCATAAGGGGAAATGAAAACTGAGCGTTGATCGGCATATCTTATCTATGGTGGAAGACCAGTTGAACTTCAAAGTCATGCTTTGCCTTATATGGGAGCATACAAAGATAGTGAAGAGAAGGTACTGATCCCTTTTACCTTTTGCAAAGTCCACCACTTTCACCTCTCTTGTAAAGTCATAGTCATCTAGAGCATAGAAAAAGGCCCTTTAGCCTGTTGTGCCCACACTGGTCAAAAACAACCACCTAACTCTTCTAATTCCAGAATTTGGCCCATCGCTTTGAATGCCTTTTGTATGGGAAGGTGTGATGTTTCTGGAACCTAGGAAACAGTATACCAATAACCTGCTTTATCGCTGTGACCACAACAAACTGAGAGATGTGATCAATGTTAAAAGAAGGTTGATACTTAAAAGATCAGCATAATGTGATGGTGCCCTGATGCTGGAATGAAATTTTCGATTTTGGAGGTGACAGAATTCAGATAACTGAGAGAGAACCAGAATCATTTGATGCACTGCTCTGCTGATCTTAAAAAGTTTGTGATACTATTACTAGACTATTAACCCGAGACCCTGGTAATGGTCTTGGGGCTCGGGCTCAGGTTCAAGTTCTGCCATGACAGATGGTGGAATTCCTGGAATGAGGAGTCTAATGATGTCCATGAAACTCATTGTCGATTTTGAAAAGCCCATCTGTTTCACTAATGTCTTTTAGGAAAGGAAACTGTCATTCTTACCTGGTCTGTTCCACATGTGACTCTAACCACAGGAATATCATTGGCACTTAGCTGCTGTCTAAGCAATTAGGGATGGGCAATAAATGCTGTTCTGGCCAATAATGCCCACAACTCTTTGTAAAACAAACAAAAGTTTTTTGTACAAAATACTTGAGACATATTTCTATGTACCAAAACACCATCATTCTAAATGTACCTTCCTCGGACTGGTGATGTCACAGGCAGTTCATTGACATCACATATTCAACAGCTAACATATTTTCAACATGTACTTTCTATCCTTTGTACTGGATCTCAGATCTCAATCTCAGATTAAATTTAACAATTGGCACAGTGTTCATTAGAAAAGCATCCACTACAATCCCACTCAAAGAGTAGCTCCAGAACATGAGCAGCCTTAAGCGAGAGCTATCACATTCATTTGCAAGTAATTCACTACCTCAGAGATTTTAAGCTTTCCTTGTTCCATTGTTGACCC